CTACATAGTGAGTTCCAGGACAGCTGGGACTACAGGGAGACCCTGCTTAAAAAAGACAAAATAAATAAATAAATAAATAAACAAGGACATAACTCAAGTGTACACAGACACACATGGATCATCTACGGAAATCCTTTTACCAAACCTCAAGTGAAACCATCTCTGGGCTCTTGTGATGGTGGGGTGGGGATGATACCATGGTCTTGCCTAGCTTGGAGACAGTTGGGTTCTGGTCCCTCTGAGTCACCTTCCCAGCCCACACCCATACTTGACCATATGCCCCCACCAATGCACACACCTGCCCAGCCCATACCGTGCTGAAGTTGGGGAAGAGACTGAATGGGGTGGCGCCATTGAAGTGGAAGGCGAGCAAGTGCTTGAAGTCCAGCGGGGGTTGCAGAGGTCGAGTGGGCAAGGGCAGGGAGGCCAGCAGAGGGCTGGGGGTGCTGGAGGCCAGGCCTGCTGCAGGAGGAAGAAGGGCAGGATCTGAAATGGAGCCACAGGGCTCTTTCCCACCTCTGTTGCCATAACAAAAGGCGGATGGGCTTCTTAGTTGTACAGACAAGACATGAACTCCTGACTCCCTCTTCATAAGGCAATACCAGCTAAGCCCAGTTAGGGAAGCAGAGGCCAGGAGTCCACAGTTCAAGGCTCCCAAGCGAAAGAATGACCCTTCCACATCGACAGGGTCAGCACAGTGATCCAAAGGACACTCAAAGGAAGTCCAGCCAAGAGAGTGGATAAGAAGAGTCAGGGCTCTTCCCTGACATACACACCATCATGGAGACAGCTTGATATGCTGGGTTTCCATCTTACCACACACTACCAGATTCAGGTGGTATAAAGAAGACTCCCTTCCCTCTAACTGTCCTCTCTGTCCCTCCAGTTTCTATGCCACTCACAGGAAGAACTGAAAAAGAAACCCACAATAGTCTGAAGGGATGGAGTCTCCAGCTTTGGGGGAGACCCCAGCTGCTTCCTTGAGGTGATCCCTACACCCCATCCCCCAACCTCATCCCAGAATCCTGGATAAGGCCCCAAGCCAGCTCTTTGGACTCAAAGAAATTGCACTGTGGTTTTGCAGGCCTTGGTCTTAACAGTGTGAGGCAAAAGCAGGAGAGGGTTAGGAACTTAACAACCAGATTTTAAGGAAGAGGAGGGAGGAGAAGGGGGAAGAGAAGGAGGAAGAGGAGGAGGAGGAGGAAGAGGAAAAAGAGGAGGAAGAGGAGAAGGAGGAGAAAATCCATGCTATTTGGAACTTTTTTGAGCTCCTGTAATTGCAAAACCAAATGAAGTTCTTCTTGATTCTTTGATGTCAACCCTATGAAACATAGGATAGATTTATTTACCATTTGTAGATTTAGGCCTATAAACACGGTCATTGCAGAGAAGCCCCCAGGTAGCAGATGGAAGGGCATCACTGCCTCCTTCCAATCACTCCATCCTGGACCTATTAGTTTGTGTGAGGAGAGTGTTGTGCTGTCTGTCAGAAGCAGACACTATGATCTGTTCGCTAGTCTCTTAGGAAGAGACTGCAAAGGACCGAGCTACGAAATTCCCAGGGACCCATTCTCCTTTCCTCTGTCCTTCAGTTCTTAAGGCCGAATCTGCTTACTTCCTTCATCTGAAACCTCTCTACTTTCTTTGGGGTGGAGGGAGGTGTCCATCTGCCGACTTGCCCAGGCTCCTGTTTCCTCACAGGTCAGGGGATGGGTTTGGTTATCAGGAGAGGAGCCAGACAAAACAGTAGGTCAGCTTAGGAGTAGCACCGTTAAGGCCATGCGTGCCTTTCAATTTCGAGGACCCCAGGCTAGCTAGGACAGGAGGCGGCCACCCTCAGATGAGAGGAGACCCCAGCAGCCCCTTCCCCCCACCCACTCTCTAAGAACTCCACAGCCAGCGCAAAGTCAAACTCATGCAGCGGGGGCCCATCCAGCGATCTTCAGCACGTGGCCGGCCCGGCGATCCCCTGCCCGGCTCTGTCCCCGCCACCGACGGGCGGCGAAGTCGGGGAAGAGCTCGCGCAGCTCGGAATGCGTGCACGCCAGCTTGGCGCACGGCCCGTGGGCCGAGCCGCTGGAGACTGGCCACCACGCGCTTGCAGAGCGCAAAGTCGCCGAGCGCGCGCTGGCGCATCACCGCGGACGCGAAGCCACGCCGCAGCGACTGCAGCGTCCCTTCGCGGTGCGCGCCCAGCTCCTAGGGCACCCGCGGGTAGCGGCGGGGATCGAAGACCGCAGTCAGGGCGTCCACGGCATCCAGCGAGGGTCCGGGGAAGAAGTCCCTCAGCCCCTTCCGCATGGAGTCCAGGAAAGGCTCCCGGAGCCGCTCCAAGAGCCGCAGCACAGCCTCGGTGTAGCCCTGCAGCTCCACGCCGCGTAGGTGCAGCGCCCGCCGCCCGCGTCGGGGTCGGACTTGGGACTGGCCAGTTCCTGCAGGAAACCCTGGTGACCGGCGTCTCCGGAGCCGCTCTGAGCTTTCAGGGAAGCTCCGGCCGCCATCACCACTGGCTGCAGCAAGGCCAAGTCGGGCTCTTGTGGTTGCAGAACCAAGCTTCTGCACCGAGGGCAGAGCGTCCAGCAGCAGGTGGGTGACGACTACGAAAGTGAACTGGCGCAGGGCCAAGGCCAGCGCAGCAGCTGTGGGAGAGACCGGGGCTGTGGCCTCCAAGGTGTACACCAAACTAGGCCAGGCCTCAGCCACTGCTTCCACGACAAGCAACAGGGAGGCCCAAGGCACTGGCTGGGGACCCATCAAGTCAATAGCTGCAAGATCCAAGGCCGCACGGAATTCGGGAACCATGTGGGAACTGGGGCCACCATGCAGGCGGAACGGGGCGTCCAGTATGCTCTCATATTCACCCAGGTAGGCAGGGGGTTGGGGATCTGTCCGACCAGGGAGGCAGTGCAGGTCCATGAGCAAGGGGCAGAGGGTCTGGAGCTGCAGGCTGACACTCCCAAGGTGGTCACTGGGGAAGTTTGAGCTGAGCCAGGCAAGTTTGGGTGCAGATACACCAAAGGCCTGAAGAATGTCTAGGAATTGGCCAGCAGTGACCTCACCCTCCTGTAGCTCCACACTGCCCAGGAAAGTGGTAGAAGGCTGACCATCACACGGGGACATCCAAGTAGCAAACAGGGCCAGACTGGGATTCAGGCCAGTCCCTGGTCTCGTCTAACACCAGCCCCACATGCGGGGATACCTTCAGGCGCTGGCAGTCCTCTGCATGCAAGACACTGGCAATGGCCACCTGGGACAGCCAAGGAGAAAAAAGGAGGGAGAACAGAGTTAGGCTTGGCAGGGAAGGCAATGCAGGGTTGAGGGAAGAGCACTAGCTTGGGGCCAGACAGACTCAGATCCTGGTTTGCCACTTACTGATTGTGCCAGCCTGGGCACGTCACTTTAACTGTCCAAGCTTTAGTTTTCTAAGCTCTAATACCTGATCTCAGCTAATACCTACCTGGCCCAGTCTCCTTAAAAGGCTTCCATGAGCTATCAGTGCAAATCTTTGTTACTGTGCTTATGGATGTAAAAGTGCTCCATGAACTATAAAGACCTCTACAAGGCTGGATTTTCCCTTGTGTTTTTCTTTGCAGCCTTGCCCTAGTCTGCTTTGTTCCTGGAGAGGTGGTGTTACCAACTGACGGCTTCACTAGCAAGTTGTGGCCAGTTCTACAGGGTTCCAGCTATGTGCTGTTTGTCTCTGTAGAATTAATCAACTACCCACTCTACCAGCCCCAGAGGACCCACACAGCTGAACCCAGGCAGAGCTGCAATTTGCATACTTCTAGGGACCATATGGGTGTTTTTGAGCTTGGAGGGGAACAGGGATAAGAATGAGAAAAACTATGGTAAATACATCCCCTGCTCTAGAGCTCCACCATGCCCTGCCTGGGGAGCAGGGAGATCTTACCAATCTCCTGAAATTTTTTTCATATTTTTTTGAAACAGGATCATCTATAGCCCAGGCTGGCCTCAAACTCACTATGTAGCCAAGGATAACCTTGAACTTTTGGTTGTGAGCCTGAGCCTTTAATGGGCTCTCCAATACAATCTTGAACTTTTGATCCTCTTGCCTCTACCTCCCAAGTGCTGGGATCACAGATATGTGTCACCACACCCAGCTCTGAATTTTTTATATTGGGAACTAATTTGAGTTTTTTAAAGGTACAGTGAAAACTCACTAAACCCATCTATAGGCTAATCAGGCCCTTAGACACCAGTGCAACCTCTGACGTAGGCAGTATCAAGTGTGCTCATGTGAAACCTATTGCAGAGTCAGATCTGGCTTCACTATTGCACTCAGTGCAGCTGGCCCAGTGCCAGGCACAAAGGCAGCCCTTGGTGAAGGTTTGGAATGGTAGAGGATGAATGAAGTGTGGTAGCTGTTACCCAGGCTACCCAGGGCCCTGGCATGCTGGGGATCTGCCCAGGAGCCTCAGTACCTGCCTTCCCAGCCCTTCCCTTACCTCTGGCTGCCACCCACCTGCATGAATTTCACCCTCCTGGGGTTGTAGCAATCACCATGCTCTATGCCCAGCAGTGCCTGATACAGGTTGAACCTCTGCAGCTCAAGTAGGGCAGAACGGCGGTCATCGGGCGCGTCCTCTTTAGCCATGCAGTACACAGTGGTCAGCGGAGCCACTGATTGAGTTCACCTCCATCTTGACAGCTCTGAAGGTGGGGGTGATTACCAAGCTGGGGTAGGACCCTTCTCCCTCAGCAGGGCCCTCTAGAGTGGGCTGACGCTGGTTGACAGCCAGAGCTTGACGGTGGGCTCCAGAGGTGATGTGGTGCAGCAAGGCATGGCACTGGAAGTTGTCGGTGCCCACCGTGAAGGCGTTCTCGGCTTTGTTCCCGTGCTTGTTTCTCATCAGGGCCTGCCGGCACTCAAGGCAAAACATCAGCTTCCACTCGTAGTCAGAGTCCAGCCAGGGGAACTCCTCCTTCCACTGCTCTTACACTTTTTGTTGGAGTTGGAGGCCTCTCTGGCAGGTTTCTTTCCAAGAGGCACCATGCCTGCTCTCAGGGCATGAGACCCCAGGGTCCCCTAAATACTGGTATCCCCCCTGCCTCCCTCCTACACACAGGTACCTCCCTGGATGGGGAAGCTGGTAGGGAGGCAGGAGAGGGATAGCCTACCAGGCTAAGGGGGCCTATCCATTCAGCTTAGCCTGGAAAGCAGGTTAGTGTGCTCCACTGTAGCCTGCACAGCCTGGGATGTTGTGTGTGCTGGTCTCCCCTTACTATCCACGGAGCATAAGCCTCAAACTGATACTGCTATGCAGGGTCAGACTCCCTAGGCTCCTACAGTCCCCATCCTTAGGACCCCTAAGAGTAGGGCGGGTCCTGTGAGATAAGGTTTCTCTGTACCCCCAAATCCATCCTCCAGGGGACCAGGACAAGAAGGGCTGGGGACTTCCTCTGAACCAGTCAGTGGGTACCCCCCCACCAGTCGCAGGGCATTCGTGTGCCCGCCCTGCCCCACCGCAGGGCCCTCACCCAGGGTGACTCACCCCCTTCACGGAAGCTGTGGGGTTGATGCCAGGCAGGATATCCCCACTCTGCCCACCCACACTCACAGAGCCACTGGAGCCACCATCCTGGGCTCTGGCCACGGTCTCTTTGGGCTCCACTGAAAGACAACAGCCACTAGCGGTACCCGGGGCAAGGAGGTGCCAGCAGCAGGCGCGGCCAGGGTCTTGGGCAGAGGTGGGGCTCACCTGACAGCGCCCACCTGCCTGGGCTCCTGCACCACCCTGGCCTCCTTCCACTTCACACTCCAGCAGGAGTCACTGTGGTCAGGCCACAGGGAGCAGAACGGACAGGAGTCCACTCAGTCATCACAGTCACCAGTGGGTTCCTAGGGGTGCTCATGGGTGTGGATCCAGAGCTTTGGGATAAGAGGAGCAAGTAGGGGAGCTGAAGGTCTGCAGGGAGAGACACTAGATTTTGTAGTAAATTGTTACATGGTGAACCAAATCCTAGGTGCAGGATGAGAAGACACAGCAGGTTCAGATTCTGAAAGCGCCCCCTGCCCTGCAGGGGGGGGGGCAGTGCCCGAGTTGGGGATTTTGACCTTGATGCCCCTGGGGAGCTGAAGCAGGTGCCAGAGCCCTTTGGGAGACTGTGTTTCTTATCATTGGGATGGCTTAAGTGGAGAAAGGATAGAGAGAGGTAAAGTAACTACTTCTAGAGCTTTCAGTACACAGGTGCCCCTTACCTCTGCCTGGGTTCTTCCAGATATAAAGAGAGAAACTGGATTCCCTACAGGAGGATATGGGGTTATAAATCCTCCCAGACCTGGGGGCCTAGAGTTCAGAGGCCTGGGATGGATAGAGCTCTAGCTATAGTTAACTGCTCTGGAGGCTTCCTCAGTCTCTTCATCTGAGAAGTGGGGACTTGCAGATGGGACAGGAGGAAGACAGGAATGAGACTGAGGACAACAGCAGGTGCTGGGTGTGGAGGCCATCTGAAGTGGGATGGGTTTACTGCTGTGGATTGAGGAGGTGTCAAGGCACTTGGTGACCCAGTCTCTCCTGTAAGCACAAAGCCACCCCAGTCATGTCTTCCAGTCCCCACACATTTGGGTACACTGCTCTCCCCCCACAAAAGCTGGGGAATATGGTGATTTGATGCTCAGGCCCCTCAGTGCTGGTCTGTGCCACCCACTGTGAGTTTTACCTCTGACTTTCACCTTGTGCTCTAGGATGGAGCATGAGCCATGGCACATGCATACATCCACATGATCGCCTGGCTCCTTGCTCCACTCAAATTAAGGAGCTGCCACAGCTGCCCCAGGATAGCACCATGGGTCTAGATTCTCTACTCCCCAAAGTGTAGTTGTTGGTGGGTTTTCTTTGATAGAAATTTTCAGCAACCCATCCCCCCAAGTATCAAGGCACATTCTCAGTCCTGCTGAGGGTCCACAGCTTGATCCAACTCACTGAATGGTTGCGTTAAGAAAAGGTGGGTTGTTAGCTCTGGCCACACAGAGAACAAATCAGATTAACTGTATGGAGCCAGGAACTCAAGTCCAGCCTAAGACAGGAATGCAGAGCAAGTGTCTTATGAAATAACATCACCCTGGCAGAAAGTCTAGGGAAATCACATTCTGTACTTCTGCCATACTTAGAAAAGATGGAACATTCTGGGGCCCAAGGCATCTGTACAGATACATACACAGATGCCAAGGCACACGTACATACATTTCCCCACAGTGAAACCAAGTCTAGTATACACACTGATGTGTGAACACATAGAGGTGATTGTTCAAGCAGAGACACATATCCTCAGGGGCCCTGTGTGAGCATATGTGTACACACAGATGGGCATGAGCAACACACCCATGGACACAGAGACCCCCACAGATGCCTCTAAGACACTAGAAAGCAATAAGCATGCACAGCATACGCCTTCACAGAGAAAGATGCAAATACGCCAAGATCTGCAGACAGATATGTTACCCAGGACAAGTGCACACACACTCCCTCACAAAATCGGATGCATCTGAACCATCAGCTCATATGACCAAACACAGTCTCTCTCCCTTTCCTCTTACTTCACCCCAAGTCATAGGGCAGCTGGTGAGGATACGTATGTGCACATACATGCACATATCAAATATCAGTGCTGTTTCCATCACAGACAAAACCCAAACTCAGAGAGAGGGGCTCATGCCCTACACCTCCCTTAGGATCTACTTGCTGGGGGAGGGAGAGACGTTTTCTTCAGTGGTATAGCCACTGGTAAGGTGCGCCTTTAAGTACCTTCTCACCCACACATCTCTGTACGTAACCCTAATGAAGCTCCCTGAGTCACCAAAAGAGAAAACAAACAAGAGCATTCATTTCTGTGTTTCTTGACTGTAGACCCAATGTGACCAGCTGCTTCAAGCTCCTGCTGTCTTGATCTCCCCAAGATGCTGAATTAAACCTTGAACTATAATTCTCAGAGAGCCGGAGGACGGGGGATGTAGGTGGGAGCTTCAGATGAAACACAGTGCCATGATCTGACAGCTGTAGAAGGCAAATAAAGGGTACATGGAAGTGTATTATGATATTCTATTTGTATGTGTTTGAAAATGTTTAGTTCTTGGGGCTGAAGAGATGGCTCAGCAGTTAAGAGCACTGACTGCTCTTGCAGAGGACCCAGGTTTGATTCCCAGCACCCACTTGGCAGTTATGAACCATCCTTAACTATAGTTCTAGGGGAATCCGAAGCCCTCTTCTGACCTCCGTGGCACTGCATGACACAGGTGCACTCACATGCATGCAGGCAATACACTCATACACATAAAATAAAAATAAAATTTTTTTTGAAAAAGAAAATGTTTAGTTCTTAAATATTAAAGGAAATTTTAAAAAAGGACATGGGCCAGGCGTGGTGGCACACGCCTTTAATCCCAGCACTTGGAAGGCAGAGGCAGGGGGATCTCTGTGAGTTCAAGGCCAGCCTGGTCTACATAATGAGTTCCAGGACAGGGCTACAGGGAGACCTTTTCTCAAAAAAGAAAAAAAAAAAAAAAAAAAGGGACATGGAAGTGGAGGGGACTACTTGGGAAGAGGAAGGAGGCCAGCAGGAGTGGGAGGGGCGAAGTATGATCAAAATACACATTATGCGTCTGAAAATGTCATAATGAAGCCCATTATTATGCATAATTAATATATGCTAATACATTTTTTGAAAATTTGCCAAGAAAAATGGGAACCCAGAGGGGAGAGAGGCTGTGGGGAAACCCTGTCTCAAAAAAAACAAAACAACAAAAAATAAAACCAACCAAAGAAAACAAAAAAAGCCCCAAACAAAACAAGCCAGGCATGGTGGCACATGCCTGTAATCAAAGCACTCAGGAGGCAGAGGCAGGTAGACCTCTGTGCGATTGAGGCCAGCCTAGTCTACATAGCAAATTCCAGGCCAGCTGGGGCTACAGGGAGACCTTGTCTCAAAAAAAAAAAAAAAAAAAGAGAGAGAACCAAAGGTGGGGAGGGGTACAGATTGAACTGAGATCCCACTCCACTCACAAGTAGGATTCTCCGTGTGGCCAAGGGTTCCTCCTCACATTCTCAGACCCCTCTGCCACTTTTGGGTCTTCTGGGGTGCACTGATGCTTCAGGCCCTCTCCAAGCTCAAGAATACCCAAAAGACCAGCTGTGAGAAAACTCTGCTTTGCCCCTTAGTCCCCAGCCTCCAGGCCCTTGCACCTGGAAGGGGTTTCCCGAAACACCCTTTGGAAGTTGCGCCTCTCAGAAAAGGCCAGGAAAACCAGGAGTAGAAAGAAGTGCACGCCTATAATCCTAGCGCTTGGGAGGCTGAGGCAGGAAGTGGGGAGGGAGGGAGAAGAAAAAAAAAAACAAAGGCTAGGCGAACCCCCACGTAGAGGCAAATGGGGGGAGGGGCACAGGTTAGGGTAGTCCTCTCTTTCTCCTCTAAGAAGGTAATAGCTTTCTTTTCAGCCCTGTCCAATGCCTCCCCTCCCCTGGCCCTTAGAGGCCATGAAGGTATAATTTCCTATAAAGAATCTTTGACTCAGGTTCCCAGTGTGCATTTGCCCAGACATGCAGTACCCCTAAGTCGTTGGGGGACACTCTCTAGCTGTCCCTGCTCTTCCCTCATCCTTTGTTCTTGACCTGTCTGGGCTAGGATAGGGCTGGAGTAAGGCAGGGGACAACCTCTGGGGACCAACTATTAATAGGGAAAGAGTAGGAGAGAGGACATATCACCTTGGCCTCAAAGCCTCTGAGCCCTGTCCCCATTCCCCAGCTCAGGCGACCCTCAGAACTCACCCAAGTGCATTCTCTGCCTTTGGAGGTGCCACGGAGGAGCAGAGGAGAGAAGTGCAGAGCCTGAGCAAATGAAATCCAGCCAGAGTGACAGAGGGAAGGGGGATGTGAGGGACAGGAGGGGAGGGCTTGAGGGAGGGACTCCCGCTTAGGCTGGAAAGCCCTGTTCTCCTTTGCCAGGAAGGGGCTGCCCCTTCCCAACCACAGGGGACAGAGTAGTGTGCAGTCTTCTTCA